TACTGGGTATGACGTTACTTGGGAAATCTAATTATATCTTTCCTAGGCAAATATACACAAACCTACACCACCACAAAATATGGGATACACACCAATAAAGCATTGTCATACGTGTTTTCTTTGAGTCTGGACATCGACAGAAATGGGAATCACGTATCCGGTGGACCAAATTCCCATAATGCGCCATAAGGAAGGACGCCAGACATAATACTGTAGTGTAAACAGTAAACGACAAAACACAAATCGGGACCAACAACACTGATATCATAGCGGCGATGTTAGAAAGGTTAGCCCAGCTGTGTTCTCGCTGTAGATGTTTTAGATACCCACTCTTTTAAAATCGGATGATTTTCACAAAAAATCATACTTGCACACGTGAGGGTTGGTTAATCAGGTAATATCAGTCGTCGTTTTCGATATGGGCACCATTGGTAATCATTAATGTGCCATGACAAACGGATATATATGTTGATAATCTAAATATTTCGTATTATATTGTAGAGTTACTGTGAGACAATACCCAACACAACAACCATCGATGTCTAACTGTTATATTAAATTGGAACCCCAATCCCCAAACACTCTTGAAAGGTTAAGCGTAACTAAGCAACGAGCAATCGACTAGGGATCATGTCTTCATCGTAACCATATCTTGGGCAAATTTGTCAACACTAGATTTGATTCATTGCTACTTTGACCCCGAGTAAAGTACTGACTTATAAAATGTAACGTCGCCGACAGTTATATCCCCACTCTATATTTGTTAATACACTAGTGTTTAGATAAGTTATTTTTGATTTACATTCAAAGTGGTCGAACTTGGTTGCCATTTCGAGAGATACCGAACAACATATATAAAAACACAAGTTCGACTTTGGTGAACTGGTGCATACAATTCATGTCTGTAGCGTGTCTGAACCTAAAAAAAGCAATTATCAAGAACTGAAAATTGATGGTCCGGGAAACTTAAGAATCTAATCAATTCAGATTAACCATTTCTGGTGCATCTGATAAAGCAAGGTTATACTAGTTATCGAGCCACGGAATTAAACCGATATGACTTGTAAACGTTATTTGTTGACAACATGATAACAATTGTTGGCCTCTCATGAAGAGATTAATAATTTCCCGGGCCTGCAAGCTTCTGACATCATCGGACAGAATATCGCGTATGCGCACTAGAAACAAGAAAATTGCATATCTAATTATGCATAATTTGACAATTAGCAAACATGATAAAAAGTATCAGTGCGTCATGGGGTGGACCATATGCCGTACCATAGAGGGACTGTGGCCATACACAGCTCCCTCCTAGTACCATAGCTAAAATTAGAACATGCGTTATATGTAAATAAGGTAATTGGATATTTACAACATGGTCAGCTTACCACCTCGGTCACCACATCTTGCTATGTAAACATTTTGACTAGCTCAGTGGTCACAGATAGTGTTGCTAACAACACGACGCAAGCATTCGATGGGCAACAACCCATACTGTGCACGTTCACAGCCAGTCGAATTGAAAGCAAGTTCAAGCGTATGTCGACGATTGGATTATTATTGATTATATTCGAGATAATCGCGATCATGAAACAGTTCTACACTCACCGATATAGAGCTACTTATGAATATATTGTTTACCTTGTTACACCTCGACTATTTTTCTCTTATTATTATGACGATTTGATCCTTGGTATTATCCATACAGGACTGTTGAAATGCGATCAGACCACAGTACATGCGTGACTTCAATAATAACACCCCACTGATTTAATAACTATATAGTTGAGCATTCAATTATTATTTCAAAGGCGGATCTAATTCATATACAAATTATTATAAAAATTACAATCGGTAACATCGGTGTAAAAATATATATTTCGAGAGCAAGACGACAATGCTCATAATGTAAGAAGAGACTGGACAAAATGGCGGAATAAAA